ACATTGTAGCTTAATTTTCTAGGGAAGATAAATTTTTAACTTCATTCAAATGATATGAAAAAAAGACTGAAAGGAAGGAAAAAAAGAAAAAAAAAGATAGAATGGCAGGCATCTAGATGAATGGATAGATAGACAGATGGATAGATAAATTTATTATATATATTTTAAAAAACGCATTAATTTTTTATTTTTTTAATTCATTCATACAACAAATTGATAATGGATGTCAATTGTCACATTATATTACATCACAAACTGCCTGTCTGCCCGTCAAACGCGTTAAACAAAACGTCTAGTGAGTAAGCATTGAGTAGAATTTATACGTGAATGACAGTGAGAGAGTAGAACAGAGTGACAAATTATCAAAACAGAAGTTAAATTCAAAATGAAATCGCTTGGGAAATGAATAGCTCGTACTTTGCGTAGTGTAGAAGTAAGCAGAAATACTTCATGAATTTTCATGCAATCTCGTAGACTTTTATTGAAAAATTTTCCTTCTGATAAGTTACAAGTAAACACCTTTTTAAAATTTACCAATCTCACATGTATTAACTACCATTTTACTTTAAGCTTTCTTATTTATGTCCTGCAAATTCACATCATTCTTATTTACTGCTTACTTTTATAGATATCGTCAGCTACTCTTTCTTCTCATTATGATTATTTATTAGCTTACTTGCTTTTTTCCTTTCTTGTTTTTGATTACATTTCAACTCTAAATTTCATTCATTTCACATATGCTTCAGTATTTTCTCATTAATATTAATATTAATAATGATAATAATAATAATAATAATAATAATAGTAAATAATATAATAATGAGAATGGAAAAATTATAAACACCAGTCAGTAAATAAATTACCAATAAATTATTTATTAACTGCTGTTATGAATACAGTAGACAAATTTTTAAAAATTATCTCCGCGATAGTATCTTAGCGTAACGGAGCCGCATTTTTGGCGATCTGAGAAGGTGTAAGTAATATTGAGAAGAGAAATAATGATTAACTTTTCATTCTGTAAAATGTTTGTTCATTGCTTGCGGTGTGGTATGCCTGTCTTGCCTTAAATACAGTTGAATGTTCTTACTCAATCTTTAAATTGTCAAGTTTTAGGACAATAATATAATTTACAATTGTTCCAAAAAGCCGAACATCAGTCATTATTATCGCTAAATTTTATCTTTTCAATCATTTCATAGTTCTGTTCTCTTAAATTTCTCATTTCTTTTCATCCCTCTCTTACACTGTTTTAGTGAGCATCATTTTCGAACGAAATTCTGTATTATGAGTGCCATAAATAATTAAACGTGTGCCTTTATCACTTTTTTGTATAATGTAACTGAAATATTTATTGTTACGTTAGATATGCCTTCATCGTCAAATATAGATGAATCTGGTTCATCTAGAGACAAACCGTCAATTACTCCACGGCAAAAAAAGTAGGTTTCATTTCTGCAACGCTGCATATGTCGTTAGAGCAATGAGCACATGCCTTTTTACTATTATTTTTAGACGTGATATTCTAATCTTGTATAATTTCAGACCAAAAGCACCCAATTTGTATGAAGTTTTGGGTGTTTCCAAAAATGCTTCAGATGATGATATCAAACGCGCCTACAGAAAATTAGCCTTGAAGTATCATCCTGACAAAAATCTAGATGACGATCCAGAAAAAACTGATCGTGTCAGTTTTAATCATTTGAAAACTAATGCTCTAAAACTGAAAGCTAGCTACAGTAAATTTAAAGGCCAGCCTTACCTTCTGGTTATTTAGCAGTGTATAAACTAACAATTTATAACTGCACTTTTAAAAATTATTATTTGTCTTCCTTCTTATTTAGTTCAAAGAAATTAATCATGCGCATTCTGTGCTTTCGGTGCCCACAAGACGTAAAGTGTATGATGAATATGGAGACATGGGTCTTAAACTTTTGCAGCAGTTTGGTACCGATGATGTTGTAGTTGGTTTGGCATTCAAGCCGTGGTTTAAGGTAGCCTTTATGCAGAATTTTTTGTTTATTGGTAATATTTAATGAACTTCCTTGCAGTCAGCATTATTTTTAGTAAAATAGTGGTGTTATTCATTTAAAGAGTTTTTTTCAGTAATTGAAGAATGTTTGAAAGGAAGTTACACTCGGTGCTTAAAGTGACAAGAGTAATTTTAGGACAAGCATAAAAATATGTGAAAATTAAAGTTATCTGTTGTCTTTTTTATAGTGGACCTTTATCCTTTGTGGGCTTTCGACGTGTTGCTGTTTTTTCTGTTGTTGTGGTTGCATGTTTTGCTGCAACTGTTGTTGTAACTTCTGCTGTGGCAAATATAAAGTACGAAAGTTTGATGAGGTTTGTTAATGTTTCTTACTTTAATGTGTTTAGATAGATTATGATATCTTGTGATAATAGTTCATATTCTCTAGTTTTCAGCAAGCAGTTTTAATTTAATTTTGGACTGCTTAGGAAGAAGAAACTGAAGAAGTTGATGCAGAGCAAGAAGTGATTGTCGGTCAGCCTATAGAGTCTAATGCCTTGCCGAAAAGTGTAACTTTATTATAATTTTCATCCAGCGTTTAGGAATAAACTTTACGTAATGTTTAGCGTCATCTTGTGCCTTTTTTACCAATTTAATTTTCTACTGTCATTATTTTCATTGTTTTATTTCATAATTTTTTCAATTTCAGGATAGTAATGAAGAACCAAAAATTGTAGCTAGTACAGGTGCAAAATTGAATGACAAACCTACTACAGGTTCACAATTCTCTGAAAATGTTGAAAACGACCAACTGCAGTGATTATTTTTGAATCAACTTCTATATATCGAGTCAGTTTCTGTTCTCATTATTTTGATGTGCTGATGTTTTGGGTGTTACTCTTGTACATTACCTAAAGAGCATTAAAGTCAAGCATAGAAGTAGATTCTTCTTTTGTTCTTTGTTTCCATCCATGTTTTGTATATGTTACTTTTTTGTTTTTAGTTGATATTTGGTTTTGATCTACTCTGAAAATATTGCAGGTGATGGTTATTTGTGTAGTGCGACATTTGGAATGAAAATTTCATCGAAAGTTTGGTAGCAAAGATAGTTGATAAAAGTGGAAAACTGCTCATATACGGGTAATGAAAGCAAGGGCTTGAACTGCGTAACTATTATATTTAGCAATGAGCAACTTGAAAAATTCAAACTTGTAATTGTATTACTTGAGTGTTGTTACGATACTGTCTCATGACAAAAACATATCGTTAAGAGGTTAGTGCTTTCTACATCCTATTTATTTTCTGTTTATTGAGTATTATGGAGTTGTTTAGAAGATTTTTTCCTGTTGCAGGTTTGTATAAACTCATTCTGCCTGATTTAAGATTTTGTACTTCACAAGAATTATCAGGCTAATAACTGTAAAAAATGATTAATTTCAAGTTCTCTTATTTACTGACGTTTATTCGTGCCTTTGTAGTATTTGTTTTCGCTTTGAATTGCTGATGTTATGTAGTTTGCATAACATCACAGTAGTTTTGTAAATTTCTTTTAGAAAAATTTTTCAAAAATGAATCTCGTGAATAACTATTCTTTCATATTATGTGAGAGTAAAATAATGTAACGCTTGCTTTCAAAAGATAGCAATTGTCTTTAGATGTGACTGTCACTTATCTTGTGTGTTACAAAGCTTACTATGCAGAAATGTAAAATCCTTGTATTGTTTCTGATAATTCCGAAAAAGTTTTTAATTTTTTGCTATTATTCATCCTTCGAAGCATGAATATTTTAGTAGATATCGTTGTGATTCGATGAAATGTTTGTGCTTTAAATACTTGCTCTTAGGTCATTAATATGATAGGAAGTTACCATGTAAAAGTTTTTCTTTCTATCTCATAATTTGTAAAGTGAAATGTCCCAGTAGAGAATTACTTAGCTACATCACTGAAAGTTAATTGTGAATTATACTTATCTAAAGATTTTTTTGCGAAAAAAGGAAGTAGAATTCTTTCATTAACTGAATTACTGTATGTTACTTGAAGACTGATTTCAAACATTTATGGCTTCTTTATTGTTTCTTTTATTGAGCAAGGCAGTGTATGTTACTGTCCTATTTAATTTGTTCTGCTACCCACATATTATTTTCGTTTTAATGCTAGAAGTAATTTCTGAATTGCAAAAAAAAAATATGTCGATTTTTTAATAGTCTAAAGAACATTTTACAGTACTGCTATCTAATATTTCAGTGTCTGATAACTCTGTTTAAAAACTAAGGCAAGAAGACCCAAGATAAAAAAATTTGTGTAGCATTTGTTAACATATAATTAATTTGAACAGATGAAATGAATTGTAGGAATTTGTGTTTGAGTAGTGGTGGCTTCTGAATTATATTTTGTATGCAGTACTGTTATAGTTGTGTCATTTCGTGAGCATTTGATGCCAACGATACTTTTGTATCTTATTTCAAGTTTTTATAATTGAGTTGTAGAGCCTTATTTTAATTCAGAGGTCATAGATGCAATATTTCTCTGAACTTCATGTTCAATGTATTTTTTCTCAATGTGTGACTTGAGAAATATCTTGTAAACAGACTAACAAAGAACGTGGTATTTATGCCTTAATATTACTCAATTTCTACAGATTAACTGTTAGTGAAGAAAAAGTCACTTGTTCAACTTCTAACATGTTTTTCCTCTAATCAGCCTGCTTAATCAGCTCACATAGGTGAGCACACATCAAGAAAATAAGAAATAAATTATAAGTTGTATACTATGTAAGTAAGGAAACGTTCGCGATCATTCAAGCTAAGATTATGTACTTGATAGGGTATGGATTTGGTGAACATTAAGACTATATATCAGTTACGGCTAATGATACTTTTGGAAAAATTAGTTACTTGCCTAGTCATCCAAATGAAGATAGGTGTGAAAAAAAGTTGCTATTTTTAACTAGTTCTACAAACTGGTGAAATGTCAAATGGTTATTCACATCACATATTGGTTCCAGTCATGAATTTTTACGTATTTTTTAACGTTAAATAATCTTTACAATTGGTAGGCTGTAACATACTTAACTCTGTGGTTGCTGATGAAACTGGTAATTTGAGAAATTTTCCTTTTATATGGTTATCGTCTGATGGATCTTTCACTCTTTGCGTATTAAGAGCCTCGTTACTTAAATTGAAGCTCACATCTGAATGTAGGGCGATATTCTCGGGTGGTATGTTGACGATACATTTCAAAAAATCCATCCTAACTGGTAATAATCCTGGAACTCAAATTTTTTGTGAATTTCATTAAGTTTGTTCCATTAGTTATTTTTTGCTGCTTGCAGTGAATCGAAAATTATTACGAGTGGTATTCAGTAAGAAATTCACTCACTAATATCATGCTGAATTTGGCATAAGATTTTCGCTGAATCCAACATGCAGTCATGAAAGAATCTCTTTTATCTTTTTATGAGCATAATTTTTCAGTCTATTTGTTTTTTCAAATAACTCAAGTAAATGTGTTAGGTCAAATTTTAAAAGAAAAAATTCATAAATATATAAGCTTCGCGAAACAAACCTTTAGTAAATATATATTCGGATAAGTATGAAATGCCTAAGCAAGCAGAAAATGATCCAAGCATCGCCAGTGTTCGGAACGGAAAGTACTGCGTTCCAGTAATTGTACCATCTTCGTTGACTACTTCTTCATACATGGGATAATGAACAAATGCTGGGAAAGACAAAAGTGGTTCGCCTCCTAACAATCTTAGTAATAATCCCACTACAAATACAAGTTTTATTCTTAGACAATATTTTATGAGGCATTAAAATTTTTAAAGTACTGACAGTGAAGACGGAAACAGCAAATGTAAACATTACATTATAAATTTACATAAACTATAGTTCTTATCTTTTAATTTTTTAATGTTAAAAGTCCAAAGTTTTCGATTTACTTCAATAGATTTTATTTTATTATAGCTGTAAATATACAATGCTTACCAATGTAGCCAGTAACAGATCCATAAGTATTAGAATGCTTGAAGTATACAACACAAACAAGTTGTGGAAAAAGTATGACGTAAACGAGATCGGCGCAGAGGTACCATAGGCCGTAAATGCTATTTATTGTAAGTGCCATTAAAGTCGCACTAAAGCCAACTGCAACAATAGCAATTCGCATCACGCAGATTACTTCTTCTTCTCGAGCCTAAAAACATCAAATAATTTTGAACTCATAGCTTATGTGCTTAACTTACATTTGGCCGTATTGCCAATTTCCATATGTTGTGGGCAAACATAGATGCTGCAGAAAGTACTGACGAATCTGCAGACGACATCACAGCTGCGGATACTGCACCAAGTCCTAAAGCATAGTAATATTTATAAAAGTTTTTTTTTAACTTAGTACCACCTAAATTTGACGTTTGATGGCAACAAATTTTGTTAAATTAAAATTTTAAATAATTATTTTTAGTACAAATTTTAATTTTAGTCATTTTTAAGATTTACCGATAAATGCCACCCATTTCGGCGTGAGATACTGGAAAACTAACGGCACAACCATATTTGTTTGATGGGCAGGAATGGATTCACTTTTTGTGCCGTTTTTCCATGGATCGTAATTGGTCAATCTCCAATCTACAATATTCTTGTTTATTCTGTTTGAACAGTAACTTGACAATAGAAATTTTCAATGCAGCCAAATAATTGACATTAGAGGCTGCTATTTAGAAGTCAACATATTTTTGGGACAGAAAAAATAATGCGCTGAAATTAGTAGAAAGAGCAGAATTATAAGCTTTAAATATTTGATTGTATATAACTCAACTTGCCTGTATTTCGAGCAATAGCTCCAATTAATGCGGGCGGTATAGCCATTAAAATGCAACCAACACCCGCAACAAATGATAATTTTTGCGCACCTGATGATGATTTGGACGATAAAACTCGTTGAAAATATACCTAAATAATGTCAAATTTAAACAATTTCTGTTTTATTTGATTTGCATAGAAAAAATTTTTAAATTTAATTAAATAAAAGACATTGAAAAAGTGATTGCAATTCATAATTTGTTAAAATTGAATAAAACTTCAAGAATAAAAACAAAGGCGTACAAAATTAGCACAAAAACCTTTACAAAAACTAACCTGCCATGGAATTCCTCCAAAAATAAGTAATAACATGCAGTCAATCCAAAGTGTTGTCTCTTTGAAGCCTCCAATTGTACCAATCCAATCTGCAGCATTCCTTGATATATCTTTCGTTTTATCTTGCAGTAAAGCAGCTGGCACACAAACCCACTATAAATTATTATGATATATTCATTTTGATTACTTGGTAGTGTAATTTTTACGACAAGCATACTTGTTATGCATTTGCATTTTATGCAGCGCAGCGACTGATCAACAACAAGTCTTGACAGTTCATTTTGCAACATTTTTTGTAATATAGTAGATTTTTTTTTGAAAAATAAAGCATTCTACAAAAATATCTCCTCTCACGTTGACTTCTTTATATGAATTTCATTAAAGTATTCACTACAAAACGTGTTTCTTTATTAAATTTACTTATCTTCCCATAAGTTTTTGCAGTTTTATGTTACTTTCAAAATTTGGAAAACTAACCAAACCAACGAATATGCAAAATAACTGCACGACATCAGTATATGCAACAGCATATAAACCTCCAGTAAATGTATAAAAAACTGCAATAAACGCGGATATTATAACTGACAGTGTCATATCCAGTGCCAGAATTACCGACAGGGTAGCTCCTGAAATGAAGGCCAATAAAATGCTTGAGCAATTAATTACAGCTGTTGTTGTCCTATTTTAGATAAATGATAAGTATTACTTTAAATCACCATTTACTGAATATTTTTGTTACAAATCTTACCAAGAGCTGATAAAATTGCAGCTGTCCAAAATACTTCTCCGAGAAGTGCAGGAATAAACAAAAGCCCGCCAACTCTTTGCCCATATTTCATCTACAAATTCATCGAAAAATGATCATATCAAAATGGTTTTAACTCTTTATTAAGCACAATATTTCAATACTATAATAGTCTTACTTTACTTACAATCAATATTTTTGAATGGAATTTATGGTTTTCAATATTAATTTGTAAAAATATTTGTGATTAAAAAATACCTGAAATGGATCAAGCATCGTGATATAACCTTCATCACGCATTTTTCTTGCAAAAAGTATACCACCAATGACTAACGACAATGCATAACCAAATGGCGCCTGACAACCTAGAAGACCACCATTGTAAAGTGCTTCAGCGGTACCATTGATGTAAGCTCCACCAACCCAAGTTGCTAGAAGTTTAAAAAATAAGTATAATTTTCGTTGCTGAGAAATTTAATTCAGAATTTTAGTTTAAGCATTACACAGTTTAATCTAATTCTTTGCAACGACAACAAAACTGCATTTTGAAAACAATTTTCTTTAAATTGGCACTTTGGCTTCCGAAAAACATATTATCAAAGCATTCTGCCTTTGGAAATCTTTTCATTTATCAACTTCTATGCTATCATTAAAGGACGAATCAAGTCCATTCATTCAATTGAATGCGATAAAACGAAAGCACAGTCCTACTTACTGCTTAGCTACTTTTGTTTGATGCGCTCAGAAAACATGCAGTAGTCAAATATGAGATTAGCTCAGTTGCTA